ACAAAGAAAATCAAATATTTCTTACCCATCAGTTTGTTGTTCAGTACCTGAACCATTATCATTAGTTCGTCGTCGTTGTCTACGTTGACGACGTTTACTTGTTTTATTTTCTTCACCTTGTTGTTGTTGTTGTTGATCAGTATTAGTATTTTCATTATTGTTATTATCAGCACTAGAAAATAGATATATTCCTTTTTTTTTATAAAACTAATTCATTTTCAGAAAAAAAATAAACAAACTTTTCATTTTTTGATACTCGTCGTCTGCGTCCACCGCGTCCTCCACGTCCACGACCACCACGATTACCACGTGTAGGATAATTATTAAAACCATCTTGCTCTGCAAGTTCACCACCATCATTATAGAATGGACCATAGTATCCTTCTTCAGGGGCATAAAAACCTTTGAAAAAGAAAATAAAACTATGAAATATTTACAAATCATAGTATGTTTACCTCCTTGTCCATTCATATAATTTGTATAAGGTGAATAAGCTTGATAATAGTTGCCATAAAATGGACCACCACGAGGAAAACGTCCGCGACCTACGAAGATTTTCAATTAAAGATGAGCTAAGATTGATAATAGAAATCTTACCACGACCACGTCGAAAACCTCCTCGTCGACCACGACCACCTATCAAACGAAAACATCCAAATCATTACTTTTTATATATCGTTTAATAAAATTACCTCGTGTATTTGTCTGATTATTTTCATCGGAATTATTTGAGCGTTGAGTATCATCATCGTTCGATACTCGATTTTCATCTTCACCTAAATCTTGATTTTGTCGTTCATTACCTATAATATTTAATAAATAATTTAAAAACGAAAAATTATTTCTATAAAATTATCAAACCAGGTCGTTTTCGAAAGAAATTTTTCGCACGTGGTTTTAATGGTTGTTGAGGTTCTTGGACTTGGACATCCTTGTCCAATTGTGTACTACTATCTTGTTGATTAGACATATATAAAATCTACAAAAATAAATCAAAAAATCTATTGTAAATTAGTTCGAATGTGTTGTGTATATAGATGGAAGAAAATACGCAGTATATGCGCGAAAATAAACAGAGAAAAATGTGTGATTACTGCCTTCACTCGTGTATAATAGGACGAAACGTGTGTGTGTGTGTACAATAAGCTACACTGTTTTCTTTCTGTCTATTCTCATAGAAAAAAAACGTGGACGAACTAATAAAACTACTGTTTTTCGTCTTCCCAAATGGTATATTTCGACGGAGGAAAAGAAGAACGAATCACTTGATTCTGTGTCCTAATCGCTATATAGTCTGCTATTAAAAGGACAATTTTTCGTTTAAGAAAAAATAAACCACAATGGATACGTTCTATTCATCAAATACAGAAATAAAAAGAAAAAAAAGATTTTAAATCGATATATTGTACTAAATGACTTGACGACAGATGAATCATTAAAATTGTCCTCAACATTCTCGATCATCTAAAAGAAATGAAATTTTGAAGTATTTCAATATATAATTTATTTAACTTCGCAGAAATTCTATATTTACAGTTTCATACTTTTTCGAAATAAAAATCCTTGCAAATAAATTATTTCTTGTTGTAACTAGACGATGTAATTGTTTCATGCTATCCTAAAAGAATTATAAAACAGCAAATTCATACTTAACCATATTACAGACTGAAGACTCTTTTATAAAATACTCAACACTCAAGTTTAGTGATACTTGAATCATTTTCTTGTCAATAATAATATTTTATGTTGTAATAAAATAAAGATTTGATTTTTGTTTAATTTTAAATATATATAAATTTAGAAAAATTTTCGATATTTTCTTATATTTACATGTTTTCATATTTCATTGAATGAATTTCTTATCCAATCAAAATGAATCGTATTACATCATCAGTATTTCTTTGAGAAACGAAGCATAAGGTAAATGATTATTCATCAATGTCAATAAAATAATCTTTCTTACCTGTCGAAAAACGAAAAAAAATATCGTGCCATGGCTTCTATATCAAATTTCATATTTTCTTTGCCTACTACTCTGTTCTCTCAACAGCAACAGAACCCCGACGAGACTGTTAACACTGACGAAAACATTACCGACAACGTACCATCACCTTCAATGGATGACAGTAACTTGCCTATAACTGGTATTTGTTTAGTTTCAAAACCAGGGAATGTACCAACAGGCTATGATTGTATTCGAAAAGGTAAAAATAAACGTGAGAATTCAATGTATCTAGACACAATGATAATAATCGATATTTTAGTATGCATGACGTACAACAAAAAACGAATCACTTCTTTGCTTTTGAAACAAGAACTATAATAAAATCATATTTTTACGATAGAAATTTCATCTATTATAATACTATGTAAATCATCATATTATTCAAAATCTGATTATAGTTACAATGAGTTTATTAGAATTCTAGAATAATTATGATTTCTTTTCTTTTTAGCTTATGACGAAAAATCGAAAGATGCTGATTTAATGCCTGATGGTTTTCTTGAACGTAAAGATCGTTTTGTTTGTATTACACATAGATATCCACTTGCTGATAATAGAGCATATGTTGTAGAAGATATTAAACTTATAAATGAACGTGACACTCCACCACTACCATATGTTGGATTAACACAAACAGTAGATACATTTGAAAAAGGTACTGCTAAACGAATAATTTGTGTTAAATTAGTCGAACGACAAGTCGGTATGAAATGTATATGTGATATTATATTTCTTTATCGTTCAAAACGTCCACCACAATCTTATACAATAATTGGTGAAATTAATGGTTTACAAATGTGTATTAAAGAAGGTATCGTACCATCTGTTCGACCACCACCACCACAATCACCACATTCTAGATCGACAACATCAAATCTCTATCCAAGTACAACAGATAATCAATTTTATTATCAACCCCAATGCCAAACATCTAATGGTCAAATGGATCATTCAAATACACATACATTGGGAAAAAAAAGTGATGAAAAAGAAATTCTTGATGGTATACCATTTTCAATTAATCCAAAATATCTAACAACGAATCGTAAAGATGCTAATGATTTATTAGGATTTGATTCATTTCGAATTCTTTCACCATATGATATTGAACAAAATTTTCATTATGATTTTCACCTTGAAAGATCTTCACTTTAATATATAAAAGATACTAAAATTTATTTATAAGCCGTACATATTTGGTGCATTTCTTTTATTATTTTTTCTTTATATATTATGTTTTTTTTTGTTTAATATATTCTCGTTATATGTATATGATAAACATGCGTTTATATTGATTTGTTAGAAAAAATAAATATACTACGAATAAATCCAAGATAATTTATAATAAGTATAAAGCTGATTAGTTGAGAATTACAATATCTAATGAGTGTACCAAAATAAATTGCATTATATTTTAAAGCTCTGCAAAACTATATATGTCATATCCTTCTAAACAACTGAAATATCGTAAGTATCTGTGAAATAAACGGAGTTGAAACTTTTTGTTCTATGGACTGCTTGCATTCGTAATTAATCTTTTGCAATATCTACATTTCAATTCAATAATAAATCACATACAGTGGCGAATTTAGGGGGGGGCGATCGTCCTCACCTTCCGAATTTTTTTTGATTTTTTACAGCAAAAATGAACGAAAAAATAGGTTCACACTACTTCGGTTGGACTCAAAAAATAGCCTTTAACCAAAATCGCCCCCCCTCTCTGCAGGTATCGCCCCTCCATACTCAAAAAAAAATCGCCCTCCCCCCTTCCAAAATCCTAGATCCGCTACTGATCACATATAATTTGGCTGCATATTAATATTACACATATTTATCTTCTACGAGTTTTCATTTATTTAAAAGGATATGACATATATAGTTTTGTAGAACTTGAAAATAGAAGAAAATGCATTAAGATATAATTCGATTTATTCTGAGACGTTCGTTAGCATATG